TAAGCGACCTAGTCATGATAACTCTCAAGCTACATTAACCCCAACATATGCTGTTCGTGCCTCAGTTTGCTTTTTAAGTTTTAATAATTTCAAACGTATTTGAGAGTTTCAAGGGAAAATACGTATCTTCAGGAATGCACTTAAACTGTGTAGATCTCCTAGATGTTTATCAGTTGTGCATTACACGCTTTCCAATATTGGAGATGCTGTAAGTGGAGCCATGGCTCTGGTAGGGCATCTTAACTTGGGGGAACACAGCGTCGGTCTCCAAATCCACAGGATTCGTGAATAACCTAGAGCAAGTTTCACAGTCTGGGTCTTGATTCCCTCATTTGTAACATGGAATAATAATTCCCTACTTCAGAATCATGTTGTTAGGTAAAAATGTTCATTAGGGGTGTTACGGAAACGGGGCAAAAAAATGAAGAATCAGGAAAGAGATGCATTTAGAGCATAGTCTGGAGCTTGCAGTAGTGTCTGTGCTGGCAAACGCTTCTGCATTGGTAGTGTCTTTGGACACATTTGGAAATCTGTATGTAAAGGTCAGTTGGTTGTTTTTAACTGGAAAATAGTACAACTGTTTTACTTCTTGATAGCTACAGATGTCGCATCTTTCAACAACTTATAAGCACTACCTTCCTGCTCGATGACCAAAATCCAGTTAAGACAGACAGGTGACTTTCAATATTAAGATTTTTTGAAGGCAAACAGTAAAAACAGTTATCATTCTAAGAAGTCTCTGATCTGCCATTATAGTGGCAAGTTCTGAAAACAGCTCAGTACAATAGGAAGTCTTTAACAGGGAGGAAAAATCTGAGCTTCCCGAGTTTTCATCTCATGCTTGGATTTTTTTTTTGCCTTTGAGATGGTGGAAAAACCCCAACGCACCACTTGTTTCAGACACTTGAGAATTCTGACCAGCTCCTCTGCATTAGTGCTCACTCGGTCAGTGAGCTCAAAATAGATTTGCTAGGGTGTTGCGTGATCCACTGTACTCATACCTAATAATTATAAGCTGCATTTACTTTTCTTAAACAGCATGATACCTCCTGAGGAGGTGTAGTATAACATCACAATCTTCTGCAGTAAGGATCTTTACTTACCTGATGGGGTAAGACTGAATGTAAGCCTTTGCTTTCTCTAATGTGTCAGCAGACCTCTTCTGAAAACTAAGCCAAGAATTGAAATGTCTCCTTGTGCTTTAGCCCCAGCCGGCAAGCATAATGCAGCTGCTCACTCACACACACACCGCCCCCCTTTTTCCCCCGCAGCAGAATGGGAAGAGAATTGGAAGAGTAAAGTGCAAAAACTTGTGGGTTGACATTAGGACAGTTTAATAGGGAAAGTAAAAGCTGTGCACGCAAGGAAAGCAAAGCAAGAAATTCATGCACTGCTTCCCGTCGGCAGGCAGGTGTTCAGCCATCTCCAGGAAAGCAGGGCTCCATCACACATAAGGTTACTTGGGAAGACGAACACCATCACTTCAAATGTCTCCCCTCTTCCTCCTCCTTCCCCCAGCTTTATGTGCTGAGCGTGATATCGTATGGTATGCAATATCCCTTGGGTCAGATGGGGTCAGCTGTCCTGGCTATGTCCCTCTCAACTTCTCGTGCACCCCCAGCCTCCTCACTGGTGGGGTGGGGTGAGAAGCAAAAGAGGCCTTGGGTCAGTGTAAGCACTGCTCAGCAGTAACTAAAATACCTCTGTGTTATCATCACTGTTTTCGTCACAAATCCAGAAAATAGCACCATGTGAGCTACTATGAAGAAATGTAACTCTGTCCCAGCCGAAACCAGATATATAGCTCTGCCCATACTTGCTGTGCCTGCTAACATAGGTTAGTACCTATGGCCACCATTGAGCAGCTACATCAGGCTTTCTAGAGAAAAAGAATGGAGTAACTCAGTTACCTTGTCAGGATAGTCTTCAAGGCTTGTTTTTCTGGGGAAAAAGTTAGGAAAAAAACCCACACTACAAAATGCAGAAGATCTATGCTAATGACTTCATCATCATTCTTCCCAATGTAAGTAACAGTCCAGCCTTCAGACCAGTCCTAGAACAAGAGTTCTAGGACCTGCTGTAATGCTGCATGTGTCTCCCTTTTTCAGTGCCCTACTTGCATCCTACCAGAAAAGGTGTTCTATTGACATTTCATTGGTGCTCTGTTGATCTTACTGATCTGATTGTGTATGTTCAGAAAAAGCACAGTACCCTTTTATTTAGGGTCATCAAGCTTACTGAAAAGTTTAAACAAGGATATTTTATTTCTCTTGGCATAGGTGGCATAGTATTATGAGTGGTGTGATTTTTAAAAAGCATATTTTGTTGTGTGTTGGATTTTTGGAGCTGTATGGTAGGCATCTGGTAACAGGGAAGGAAGTGTTTACTCTGAAAGCAATGGGAATAGAGATGTTACTGAGATCTCATTAAGCTAAATCTTCTTTACATGTTATGTTTTGGAAAATCTTCACAAGACCCAGGGCAAAGGAGGAGGAATGCCTGTTGCTTTTGATGAGACAAGGGTGATTGCCAGAGCCCACTGAAGCACTTTGGATTTGAGACAGTCTTAAGAATGCTCTTTAGCAACAGGCAAACAGTGGGGTGCTCTGCAATGTTTTGTATTACTTAGCGAATATACAGAACATTATAGCCAGAATATACAGCAGGTTGTGAATTGTTCTTGTGCATTGTATAAATTTGATTAAATCTTGCTGCTCAGAGCATTTTATAGTGCTTATTGTTAACCAAGGAAAATAAGATCTTGTTTTCATAAAATGAAACTCTACCATTGAGAAATAAACCGTACATGTGTTTTAACAACAGAGAGGTCCCTTTGGCTACTCTGTAGGTCAGTGTTTGTGCACTCACAGCAACTCTCCTGTTCTGCCTGCTGAGGTGAAGGAGAGGGAGATCTCTGAAGCTGTGTCTGTTCTGTGAGATTAGTATGTCTACCTGGGCTCTGTGTGGAAGAAACCGTCCACGCAGGTAGTGGATGCAGAGATGTTAGTGTCTGGATGTCTGACTGACGTGCTGTAGAGCACTTGGATTGAACTGAGAAGTGGTGTAGCGTTTTGGTGAAATTTCTCAGAATAAATGCATCTTTTCCATCTTTTTTACCCTCCAGTTCCTGGTTCTCATGTGCTGAGCAGTCAAGGATTGGCCTCTCCCCTTTTTGTTCTGTTGTGCTTTTTCTTAAAACTATTCCTTATTTAATGGTAAAAATGAAGTGGACCTTGAGTCTGCAATGCCATATGCTGTTGCAGAAACTTTTTTTCCTGTTTCTTTTTTTCAAAACCCTCTCATAGGTAAATATGTAGTTATTTTTCTCAAGAGTTCTAACAGTATTGTAAGTTGTGGCGGTATATATGTTGTTTACAAGGACACCAAAGCAATGCCTGGAGATAACTCTAGGCTGAAGTTCAGTTGTCCTCAGCCTCTTCATAACAAAACTATCTTACTGCAGGGGGGAGAAGTAAGACTGTGATTCCTAGAAATGTGGTTAGACAGTGTAATGCCACCAAAATAAGCCCTGTCTAAACACTGAGCAGAGCTGCGCGAGTAGAGAAGAGTTGTATTACACTGGTGCAGTGCATCAGTCCAAGCCCATCTCTTTTCCAATAGCAGTTCCATACTCATTCCTGAATGCAGTAGTCATGCAAGTAGTTTGTTTAGCTCCCTATTTTGTTCTTTTTGATTTGTAAACCAAAGCATCCAATTTATTTTCAGCCATATTTCTACAAAACTACATGGCTTATATGCTCACTTACTTGATTGCTTAAAAGCTTTCATGTGTAGAGTTTGGCGGTTTAATTTGCGTGTTCTTAGGTGTTACTTTGTCTGAGTTTGGAGTTCAGCTTTGCACTGCACTATATTTGCGTTGTTTTTATTTTACTAGCTGTATATATTTTACTTTGTGTGCATCAGAGGTTTCTGTCAAGATATGTATTATAATATATTTTTTATTGCTTAAAGTATTCTTACTGTTTTCTGCTGGTTCCTGCCTGTGTATGCCCTTAAAATAAACTAGCTAGACCAAATAAAATTCCTTTTATTCTTTTGTGTGTGAGTGTAGCATTTTGAGATGAGGCGTGGATTTAGATGGCAGAAACTATAAAGAGGAGTTTTTGGCTTTTGCAGGGATTTGTTTTGAATGCACTTGGTTTTTGTTTACTTCCTGCTTGCTTGCCACTTTGCCAGCAGAACAATTGCAGTATTTCCTGCTCCTTTTTTTTTTTCTGGACACTGGAAAGTGTAGGAATATGGAGCACGACAAGAACGTTACATCTGCAATGTTCAAATAAGCATCTTCTATTCCTACAGATATTTTAGAAGTCCTGTAGACTTCTGCCAATCTGAAGAAATCCAGGACTTCTTACCCGGAGCGGCTGGCAGCATGTAGTTTAGGGGTGGCTTTATTTGGTACTTCTCCTCTAGGGTTCCAAGACAGCCTTAATACAAGGATAAGAATTCCCCAAAACGCTGATGTGTTAATGAGAATGATCATTTGAGTTATGAGATTAATGAACAGTATAGTTGAAAAAAAAAATTGAAATCCTGTTGTGTTGTAGGACTTTGATTTTTTGTTCTGATAAAAATGACTCGGTGTTTAGCGAAAAATTGCAGAAGTAGAAGGCTGCCTAGTAGGGGGTTTATGCCTCACGGTATGGAGATTTCATACAAATAGATGAAGTCTTGGCTTCACCACCACAAAGTGACATTATAGTATGGGCAAATGCATCATTATTCTGGCAGAAGATGAATGTTATCAGTAATGTAACAACCTAAGAAAAATTGGGGCCAGGTTCTTGGGCGGAATAGATAAAGATAGGAATATGATGAAGGAATGAGGGGGAAAAATAGACAAATACTTTCAACAGAGAGGGGAAACTGCCTTTAAAAGGAAAAAAACATTGTTTAAGCTTATTTCTTTAAACAAACCTGAAACCAAAACCCAAAACCAACTCCCCCCTGAAAAAAACCCTTGTTTGCTTCTTTTTTAGGAAATCTAATGAGGCCCCTTAAGAACTATGGAATCGCATGGTGAGCATATGTTTTAATTTAAGTAAAGCTTTTATACAGATGTACTTGATATTGTGCTGGAAAGCTTGAGTTTTTGCTTTGTTGTTTCAGCATGTCTATGGGTTTCTTGATAGAAGAGACTGCCCCAATTGTGTGGAGAGGGCTCATGGTCATGTCGGCTGTTGAGAAATTGTTGAGACAGGTAAGGACTTGGGTGCATATTTGCATTTCAGACTAATCGATTAATTTAAATTGTATTTAACTGATACATGAGTGTCCTTGACATTATTTCATATATTAGTGGTGAGCATTTTTGTATCTTGGTCTTCTTAAGTTCTTAAGAATTTAATCTTAACTTCAGGTAAGAGGCAAAGGTGACACTTTTTCCGTTTACCTATGCCCTTCAAATAGAGCTGCTGTTCCATGTGTTTGATGAATCACCCCAATTTGCATTCCTTCTTACTCCATTTTATGTTTCTTTATGCAACTGTTAAAAAACAAAAAGTCCTTCTGAAGTTGCCTAAGGATTTGACTGTATAGGTCTCTATGCATACCTACAGCTGTATTCCCTTATGTTCTTGTTAATTCACCAGCACTAAGGATTCTTGGATGGCATTTGGCATATGACAGGTACATGAAGATCATTAGATACCATCTCTGTGTAATGCAGATAGATTGTTAGTTAATAAATTTCCTGGCATATGGAAGTGGGGTGGCTTTTTTATTTTTTGACAGATTTTTTTTTCCTCTTATTGTGAATAGATCTGTGAAGTGCTAATGAGACAAACAGCTCAAAAAATGCATGAAGATTGCATGTTTAGACTTTGAAATGACCCAGATTGTTTATGGCTGACATCCGTTCCAGGGATTTAATATATACAGCTCAGAGATCACTAGGTTTCTGTATGTCTTCTGTAAATGCCTTTGAATCTTATGCTCCCTTAATGACTGAAGATTTCTCCCCCCCCCTTTTCCCATTTTTACTGAATTCTCCTCTAACACAGACTTTAGAATAGTGGCAATCAGTGCCCTAGTCAGAAAAGCCATGTGTCTGCCAAAATTACAGGAAGAGTATCTTTGCCTAGATTTGGCCTTTAAAAATAAGGGGCATCCATGCCAGTAGCTGTAGAAGGCTGTTCTGACCTCTTTGTGTGGTGCATTGTGTTGGCCGGGCTCACAAAGACTAGATCCTGAAACCTCGACGGTGGAGCTGAAGTTAGCACCTGCTGTACTGGCATACTCCACCCTGGGAGACTGAAGGCTGGCAGGCACTCCAGTGCCGTTACTTCAGTCGGTGGCATCCCCAAATGGGAAGCATGTGCCAGCATCCTTGTGGAGGGTGCGAATGGTGCCGTGTAATGAGCTTGTTGCTCCCTAGCAACTGGCGAAGCAGTTACATGCTGGCCGATTATGCTGTAGGAACGAGACAAGAGTCCGTTAATGCTCGGGGCATCAGTGATTTCCCTGACAGTGGAACCTGAATTCTGAATGCGGCAGGCTTTACAGCTAAATTTCTTCTCCCCGTAAGCATTTTGCTTCTGCGTGATGACCAGGGTACTCTTAAATCTGTGCTGTAAAAGTTGTTCGCATGTCTTCCTTTGAAGAAAGCTTACAGATCACAGGGAGAACCAGTAGGTTCTATCTGATGCACAGGTGGTTTTTAGGAAATAACTAAAAATTTTCCAGACTAACACATGCTATTTTGGTGTTAAAAACTGTAATCTCCCTTCTGACGTAGTTACTAGTCAGTCTCAAGAAGGGGTTAGCTATAGAACCAATAGCGTTATAGTCTTGGACACGTAAACAAGAGAGGACCACAGTGTGCAAAGATGTTTTCCAAAGATACTATAATTCCATTTTATATCAGAAATAGTTTTGAGATCTGTTGAGGGCTTTGAAATTTTTCCTTGTTTTCTCTTTGTATGTTCTGGTTGGTCTTAGCTGTTACCTGTTGTTTGACAGGATAAAGTTGCTCGCAAGAGTAAAATATTTCTGCTTGTATTTGAGTTTCTAAAACCATGTTCTTAAGAAATAGCTGCTTTACCTCTATAGCTATATATAAAGCATTTAAATTAGCTCCCTAATCTAGATTTATAGTATAATATAAATGTAAGGAGCTTCTGTGCATTCAGGCAAGCTGATGAAATACTACATTCTTAAAATAATAAAATCAGCTAGGGAGAAAACACAGAGGTTCACAGACTTTTGCATTAAAAACACTGGTGGCATTTTGTAATGGAGTTTATTGTTACATGGCGGACGGGGTTTTGTTTGTTTTAAGAGCATCAAGACTATATGTTCACTCTGTCCAAATAACTTTGGAGGCTTGTTTGTTTTTTCCATATGAACAAATCTGTTTTCCAGAGTTTTACATGCTTCAGATACTCCAATAAAGCATTGAAGGGCCTAGTTTCCAAATTCATTAGTGGGGACTTGCTAACTCGTTAACTCATAATTGGTCTGTGCCTGTAATGAGTCTTTAAATACTTCTCTTGCAACTTGTTTAAATTTCTGGAATTCCTCCTTCGGCAAATACATTTGTTAAATGTATGTGTTATGTGCTTTCTTAGATACTTACTGCGTGTGACCTCACTCTTTGTAATGCATGAGTATTTGTCCTTCGCTGGTGTTACTTTCTTGGCTTTTCAACACAATCCAGAGTCCAGCCACACTTCTGTCTCTTTTCACTTCTACTTGCATATGGGCAGGCTATCCATCACTTTTCAGAGAAAACACCGTTTAAATCCGGACTCTTCTTTTGCCACATGTCTGGTCTGAGAAGCTACTTTTGTTTTTGTGTGTTGTGTGGTGTCAGACTGGTACATAACAGGCAGTAATACTGAAAACCAAAATCAGTGCTTGGTGTTTCTCTAGTAATCCATATCTCACAAGCATGGATGGTTTTCTGGAACACATCATATCATTTTCCTTAATCAGAGTTCGAAGGAAGTGTGCCTGATAATACAAACTAGAGTTAACAGTTTAGTATACTATATTATATACATTACATATATATGGATATATGTGTATCAAATCAGTATATAAATGAAATTATATAGCATATTGATTTTATAATATGTCCTACTTGTAATACAAGTATTGCTTAATAGAAAAGAAGGAAAGGGATGATAGGGTATTGAACGAACAGGAAACACAGAAGGAAGTGATTTTTCACCTGTACTGAAAGTGAATTGCAAAGAATAATGGAATGTATGGTTCTATATAAATGTATTAATAATTCTTTCAGTTAAATATATCTCTAGTTTACATGCGTTGAAATTACCCAGAGTTTTGTTGTGGCTGAGAAGTGACTTCTTCAGTCACATAATTAGATGTACTGTAGGTCCGTTTACACTGCAGGGTGAGCTTTTTCTTTATCTGGGTTTTAACTCTTCCCGTTTCCCTGCCACAGTAATCTTCATGTAAAAATTCTTTCACCTCTGTTAACAATTCTTTTGAATCTTGGTTGCCTGGAGGTGAGATAAAAGAGAATATTTATTTTGTTTACGTGAGTTTTTTTAAAAGGTAGTTATTTTCTCTGAAGAATGTGTTAAAGCCCAGGTAAGGAAGTTTTACTGCTCCGGTGTGGTGTGTAGCACTAGGCTTTTTCCATTCAGTTTTCACTTAACGTACACTTCAGAAGCTGCCTACTATTTTGCATAGTCCTATTCAGCACTTGTTCCTTTATTCTGTGTGTGTCTAGACTCAGTGCTATGGTATTTGGTTCAGATTAAACAAGCTACCTCAAAATGCATCATCTTGGTGTATTTGTTGTGGGGAGTGACTTCAGATTAACCTTTAGGCTGAGGACAGTAAAGATACAGATTTTTTTGAGAGTTACCTAAAGCCTATACCTGAACAGTAATGTGTCTGAAAAGCTCTGTTGAAAAAAGTATTCATTAGACAGCTAAGAACCTTAGAAATAAAAAGATTATTTAAAAAAAAAAAGGGCAAGCAAAACTTGTTTGCTGGTTTAAACTGCTTTTGCAGAAGGATTTTAATGGTCATCACCACTGTCCCATATAGCCTGTATGGTAAGTTTTCTGGCACCATTCTTATTTCTGTCTGAGGACATCTCAACAGTTCAGTGGCAAAGGAGCAATTAGAAGGGTGCAGACACAATCCTAAACTGATCCAGGAGCAGCATGACTGGCTGCTGTATGTCCTGGAGTATTTTGTGGCAATTGTTCTGCCAGAAGGTTGAAGGTGAGGAAGTGACACTGTGTCATCTGCCAATTTAATAGCTGCTATAGTCATAGCAGCAATATAAATGAGGGGGTTTCTTGTTTCGGCAGTAAGCAGTAAAACTTTTAATACGATGGATAGTAAGTGTTGGTTTCTCTGATCTTGAACTCTCTATCTTATTCTACATGTGTTATTAAGTTGAAATACCAGCAAAGAAGGAAAAAAATTCAATGTGCAGCAGACAAGTCAGCTTTCCTATTAAAAAAAAATAAATGGGACTACAGGTGAAATAGAAGTGCATACTTCAGCATGCAGTGTTGTCCTTGTTTCTTTGTCATATCCATAGATAAAGTTGTATCACTATTAGAAGCAAGTGTTACCTACACATCGTGGATTATAGATGTCAGCAATCCTGTTAAGTGCAAACAGTGCCCTTGGAACTGGTCCAAAAGTCTGCTGTCTTTTCAAGGCAGGGATCTCTGGTTGATTAACATTCTTAACAGGGTTTCGTATCCTGACATGACATTTTAACCTATGTTTTTGCAGGCTAGTCAGATCTTGCACGGCAAGACTCCTGTATTTCTTCCTTGTCATGCTCCTGTAGAGTTTCAAGAACATTTTATGCATTTGCACCATATAGCCTTCATATAGTATGGCTATGAAGAGAGCCTCAGCGCTGTTAAGTGTATTGTGAGCTCTAAAGGTTTCTTAGATGTACCTGATAAAGATGAACACGTTTTCCCGGAAAGAACATGAAACTTCTTCTGGAGTGGCTCAATTCTAGTGAGTCCCTAAAATACCCTTATTATTATCTAATTGTAATTTCTCCGTCTCTCTTGCTGCTTCTTTCAGCACCAGTTTAGTGCCTCTGTTTTATAAAAGCTATGTAGTGAAAAAAAATTAAAGTTTCACCAGGAGGGATATAATTGGAAAGGAAACAATACAGGGAAGGTAGCAGAAAGCAAATAATACAAAACTTCCAATGCAGAGCATTTGCATGTGAGCAAAAGGAAATGG